GGGGTTCCTAACGGACCGGCTGTGGCGCCCTTTTCCGTAGCCCCCCTCCAAATTCCTGCGGAGGGGCGAACCTACAGGCATGCTCCTCCCCCTCCGGCCTACGGGGCCCCAGCCTTCCCTCCCCCACGATTTGGCAGCGTCGGGGGGGTGGTCTGGGGAAGGTCCGTTTGTTCACTCTGGGGAGTTAGGTTTCCTGGAAGGGTCAGCAGCCCCTCCCTGGCTTCCTGGTGGGTAATGGAGTGGTCGGTTGGACTCCCGGGTGTGTGTGTGTGTGTGTGGGAAAGCCCCCCAATTTCAAGGACGCCGTGGCGTTTTGAGTGCTTCCAATCTAAACCAGGTGTGTGGAAGGAAGCACGTGCTGACTCCCAGTTTGAACCCCGAGCAATGGGTCTCAAACTTTAGTGTCCTGTGGGGACAGCTGGGAGGGAGGGAAGTTGTCTGAAATGCTCATTCTAGGGCCCCACTTAAGACAGGCTGATTGGAAAATTCTGTGGTCAAGTCTGAGAATCTTCATTTTAACCAGCTTCCCAGGTGATTCCAGTGCAGGTGGCCCACGTTCCACACTTTGAGAAACGTTGACAAGAGTGTTCTTACTTCCTACGCTAGCCCCACGACAGGCACTTTGGAGGGAAGTGACCATCACACTTTACAAAGAATGTGTGTTCTCCACTCTGTAGTGTCTTGGTGCATGTATACATGGAGTGGTGAACAAAGTGTCTCTGTGCAAAGACACTGCTTAGCAAAGCAGAGAGTCATTTGAGTGTTTGAAGGTGCCTTATTGATGGGTTGTGAAGTTTCTGTTTTCAAAGCCTCAGAGGACTTGTGAGTGAAAGATCTGTCTGTCCTTGTGGATTTGCACCTATAAAGCTAAGACACACTGTGACATGTTCTTGTAAAATCTTGCTGATGGCAATAGTAACAGGTTATACTTCTCCCAGAGATGCCACTTCCTCAGAACTGTCACAGAGCAGGGTTATAATGCAGATAGCATAGGTGTCTCTTGGCACCCTGTACTTTATATGCGATTGCTATAATTCACTTTTAATGATGAATGAAGTTTAGCCTTGTAATGTTTCATTTTGTGGGGAAGTAAGTGAAGTTCCTGCCTCAGAGGTGTTGTGCAAAGGAAACTTTTTTGGGAGTTGACACAAGCCTAGGGTACATCTTTTTCTTTCTTGGAGCCTTTAAAACTCATGCTGATTTCTGTGAACCGGAATTGTTTGGTCCATAGAAGCATTTTTACTGGAGTTTCAGATCATTTTCCCTGGGTGTTTGTTGCCTGAGGAACATAGCAATTGTGTATATGCATGAGTTTTGTGTTTTTGTTCCATTTGGTTTGGTCTGTGAAATAGGAAGATTTTGAATTTCTTAAATATTTTTGTGTTTCAATCAAAATCAGAAGGTTTGGGCTAACTTTCAGGACTTCTTGGAGATTTCAGGATTTAGCCAAAGTTGCTTCACCTGGAAACAAATTTAGGCCTGAAGGCAAATAGGGGAGAGCCAAAAGGATGTGTTTTCTTTCTCTTCAAGGTTTAGCCTTGGGTGTTCATTGAAACTCTGCTCTGAGTTCCTTTTATGCAGGTGTTTATGACTCTGGGCAAGCAGCATTAATTTACATGCCAGAATTTTACTTGTGAGAGGTAGGTGAAAGTATGTTTGAGTCCTGGGTTATTTATGTCTTGACAGAATTCTAAAGTCTATTTGTCTCAAGCTCTGCTGCCTCTTACTCACAGCTGACAGCCTTTGGGAATGTGGGGTGCATTTCTCAGTGTAGATTTCCTGCATCCAGGTTGCTGTTTCTGTTTGATTATTGGATTAACTTCCTGATTAGATTTTACAAGCAAATTCTTTCTCTTCATTAAAAATAGGAATAGGAATTACTTTATGTGCATTTGTCCATGTATGGTGTGTGTAATTTTGTGTGCCTTTTATGTGTCTTGTAGTTTTTTATCTCTTTCATTGAGACCTCTTAGTGAATCAGGGGGAACTTTTTAAAAAAATCTGCTCTCCACTTTTTAAGTTTGCTGTAACCCATTTTGTTGGAGAGTTTGTGAGAGCTATACTAGATAGAGAAGCCTGACCAGGAGTGAGTTTTAGTGACAAGGTCAGTCATTTGTAGACTTCTTTGAGCAGGTGTGTTTGGAGTGCTTGTTGTGGTGATCAGATCAGTTTGCTTGGGAGTCTCAGTTTGCTTCCCACCTTGCTCAGATTGGTAGTTTTAGGATGATGTTGTTGTTAAGTGCCATCGATTAATAGTGACCCTATATAGGGTTTCCACAAAGCGGCTGATGATACTGGTAGCCTTTTAAAAAACGATTTCAGTGGAGGAAAGAGACAAATTCTGGAGAATTTTAACAGAGTAGTGTAATGTACAGGTAGTCAGTCCCTTGGTTACAGAACAAATTGTGTTCCTAAAGTCTTTCTTTAAATCGAATTTTTATGTAAGAACAGTTAGGCACGGTTTGTATCTAGCATCAATCAAATGTTTGTCTTATGTACTATGTAATGTACCTTTCTATGCATACAAAAATTAACCCAAATATAATAAAGCATCTTTCTTATAGTAATAATAATGTTTTGATGGGTGTCACAAAGTAGTGCCCATTTGTTCTTAGGAACTATTGAATGTACCCCAAAATTTCAATATGATAGGCTTTATGGGGATTGATTCGTAAAGTATGGGTTGCGCGTGAGTCAGGCATTAAAAACTCAGGTGTTACTAACCTGGAGAAATCTGTATGCCAGGAGATTGATTTGTTCTAAACATTTTGGAGTATTTCTTTCTAGATGTAAAAGGTTTGTTGTCAGGGGTTGTTGTTGGTGGTTATGTGCTGTGGAGTTGGTTCCGACTCATGGGTATAAATCCTCCTGCGTGTTAAGTTATGAGTAGTTTGTTTGGGAAAAGATAGCTGAGGGGATTTCCCTTCAAATAGAGTGCCCTTAAATGGATTCTTTCTGGCTTTGAGGAACTCTTCATTGCGTGTTTTATCTTTCACTTTGATTCATGACTGACCATTCTTAACATCAAACATTTTTTTCCTCTTTGAAGTAGAATAGATGCTTAAAAACTAGTGTACACTTTTGGTATACTAGGAATGAAACACTGCTAATTGTCCTTATACTTAAAATTGGGAGCATATATAGGTTCAATAAAAGTGAATACTTTGTGTTTTTGTTGTAACTTTCTTTAGGGATTTTGCTTCCCTTGCTTTTAGATTCTAGGTTTTCTCCTGACTGCAGTTTAAATAATTGGTAGCTAATTTTCAGTCATGCTTCATAAAAACAACAGCAATAAAACCACCCTTCAAAATTTTGCCAGCTCAGCTCACAATTAGTATCAAAGAAATGATACTTTGTGGCAGTGAACAGTATTTATTGTGGATTTGTTCAAGTCGACATTGCCTATCTTGATACTTGGTTTTTGTTAAGTGTCATCAACTCATAACCCTGAAACTGCCACTCTTGCAGTTTGTAGTCCAGTGCAACAAAGATGCATAAGACTTGCCCCTGAGGAGTTTAATGACCTTCTGGGGGCCATGAGGATTTAGTTACATGAATAGAATTTCATTGTTGGTTGGTAAGTACCCAGGAGTCAGGTACGACTCATAGTGACCCTGCACAGGGTTTCCGAGGCTGTAAATCTTTACAGGAGCAGAAAGCCTCATCTGGCATGAAAATTACCATCAAGATGTATAAAATAGGGTGAACTGACAATCCTGTTCCTGCCTGTTCTTTCAGCATAATTATTAATAGTTTCTCTTTTCTCTTTTCACTCTCAAGTGTCTTGGTTTGGGGGATAAAATATATGTGTGTGGAACTATGGGAACACTGAAAATAGACATTTAATTCTGCATAGCAGAAACCAGTGATGCATAGGATAAGTGCTGGACTGCTAACCGCAAGGTCAGCAGTTCAAACCCAGCATGCACTCCTCAGTAACCCTGTACAGAGTTGCTCTGAGTCGGAACCACACAGTGACATAAAACAAGAAGCTGCAGCAGAAACCAGAGAAGTAGGAAAGTGCTTTCTGAGCTGGCTTGTGAAAAGTGAGTAGGAGTAAGGTTCATTATAGAGGGCATGAGCTAAAGCTGATGACAAGAAATAGGTGTGTGTGAGTGGGGTGGAACTACGAATAGTTATTAGAGCGTAGAGTTTGGAGATTGTCAGTTTGCACTTAGGCAGAGACCAGATGCTAGGGCTTTGTGTGCCAGGCACTGTAAGTATGGGCACTTACATTAGTTCTAATCTGTAAAACAACTCAGAGGAAGACATTGGTATCCTTACTTCAAAAGTGAGGGAACCAAGACTGAAGTTGGATAGGTAACTTGCACAAAATTTGTTGTTGTTAAGTCGGTTCCAACCTGTGTATGGATTCCAGAGTTTGAATTCAGAGCATCCCCTAAACTTAATGCCAGAAGCTTCAGCTTTTCTGTATGATTATTGTTGTTGTTTTGTGCTTTTGAGTGACTGGTGGGTTTTAAGTGCCATCTTCTTGGTTACCAGTCCAGTGCTTATGACTATGGAGATTTAAAAAATTTTTAAAGGAACAAAGTGATAGGACAAGTTTTCTTTGTTTGGTGGCTTCAGGCTCTAGTAGGGATTTGATCTTGTTTAATGATGGAACCCTCAAATCCTGCCTGGCACAGAGTAGGTACCCCATTTGTTTGGTGAATCAAGAATGGTAGCAGAGTAAGAATGGATTTGAAGAAAGCAGGGCTGGACACAGGGTTATCAAGAGAAGGGGCTATTACTGTGTTGGGTGGAGTAAGAGACTGCCCCCGGGGGCACCTGGAGGAGAGGGGAGAGTGAAGGATGATGCCTTGATTTCTGATTGATGGCTGGACAAGCTGCCAGCCAGGTAGGGTGCTGTAAGAAGAGTGGATCTGGAGGTTGGCAGTCAAGTCTGCCCTTAGTGGCTTTGAGTCAGAATTCACTTGGAGGGACCTGGTTTTGGAGTCCTGGTAGTACAAAAAGTTAAGAGCTGGAAGACTAACCAAAAGGTTGGCTGTTCAAGTTCATCCAGAGGCATCCAGAAAGAAAGACCTGGCAGTCTACTTTGGAAAATTCAGCTGTTGAAAGCTTTGTGGAGCAGCTTAGTTCTTCTTTTTCTTTTTTTTTTTTTTA